CTATCTAGGAGGTGCAATTTATCAGAATAGTGTTTTTTTTATAACGAGCCAGAATGAAATAGGAGTAACAACTTTCTACTTCTTACCTTTTTAAAAATGTGTGGAGTAGAAAGGTAATTGTGTAAAAATGTAAGGAGTAAAAATTTGGCTAAAACATGATTACTCAAGTAATGCACAGATACAAAAAACCAAAAATTCTACTTAAATAGAGTAACAAAGTATTTGTATTTAGTGACTTTACAACTCAGGGTTTTTGTTATATTTTGGTTCTTTGTGTTTAATTTCAGGCCCTTGTAAAATTGATTCATTGTATTTAGTTGCTCTGTCTGTTTTCCACTCAACTGTTGTCACTCATTAATCAGCTTCCTCTCATTCTCCCATCAGCCCAGTTCCTCTTTATTCAGTGTTTTTCCATCTTCACCTCACTGATTTATTGCTTGGTCTTCCTCCATCGCTCTCAGTCCCCCTTGTGTATCCTTCTTTTAAGTATTTGCCGCCAGGTTGGCTTTTTTGTTTTGTTATTTATTAAATAACCTTTTACTTTTAACCCCTATTGTGTCCAGCTGTGTTCTGGGTTTCAAACCTTCCGTGCCCTGGTTCAGCTTCATCTAGCAGTTCAGCTGAATACACTCTGTCTGCATTCACTTTTAATTCAAAAACCATATCCAACGACTTATTTAGTCATTTTTCAGTCTAGAAACTTGTGYCTGGAACGTGGCTCAGTTTCCATTTTCTCCATCGCACTTCATCCTGTCAAGGCAATCAAACGTCCATGAAAGTGATGTCAAACCATAAACTCCTAACACGTTATYATGAGATGGTTGCAAGAAAGCTTTCTAGTTCTTACAAGATAATTTTGTGTCTATAAAGAAACGCAACTCAACAATAATTTTATGTCATGTGACAGCTCTATGCGGTCTATGTGGTCATTATAAAACAGGCTTACTCCAATCGTAATCAGTTGTAGATGTCCATCCTGTGATCACTTTCAGAGTTTCAATAATAATTCCAGTGTTTAAATAGTTTTTCTAAAACACAGTTATACGTATGTGATGAGGGTAGGGTGGTCATTGCATCCCGTTAGTGGCACCCCYATTGTGCCTGAGTCAAAGTACAGCTCAGTGCTCTAGGATGAAACTAAATAGAGAAAGRATGAAAATGAGTTGGAGACACTTGAAAAAACTCTGGGKGTGTTTTTAGAAGAAAAAATGTTGCATTTTTTTRCCTGAYCGTGTTGAAATACTTGAAACGATGTGAGTTCTGTTTTACGGCGGGTCTCAGCCGTACAGGCAGTAAAACAGCAGGCCTTCTAAACAGAAACGTCCAGCCAGCATGGACACCCTGCTGCTGCCCAGCCGCCGGTCTAACTCTGACCTTCGTTCTCAAGGCAGGCAGCTTCCCCAGATCCCCTCGGGGACTGGAGAGGACAGCGAGCACACTTACTCTGAAGTGGGCCAGCGCTCCTCCGCRACACGTACTGACGATGCCCTCTACGCCATGGTAGGCAGGGCTGGGCAGACGGACACTCCGGCCCCTCCGGCTGTACCCGCCAACACCCCGGCGCCTCCGGACCCAGACGGGGACGTGGAAGAAGGGCTGCCTGAACCCGAGGGCCAGGTCATGTCCGCCCCCCATCCTCCGGAGACGGCAGAGTACGCCTGCGTCAGGAAGCTGAGGAAGGCAGACAAGGCGCCTCAGAAGAGGGACAGCGGGACGGATATGGCGGAACCGCCGGCGCCGCCTCCCCGACACGCCCCACCGTCACATCCAGCCCCTCCTCCGCCACACCCCCACAGCACAAAGCTGCCTCGTAGAAACACTGAGGCCTTTAACGTCCCATCATTCCCCAAGGTTGGTACAACTAAATGTTTTGTAGTCTAAAGCACAGAAATTTGATATTTTTCTGGATACTTTTAGTGTTTTAGTTTTTCACTGTTCTTTATAAATCAGCTCTATAAACAGTGGGCTTCACCGTGAGTCCATTTCTCTGCTTTCCAGAAAAATTGTTAAGAATCACATCTAAAGTTCAACAAACAGATCCTTACTGGCTACAGACC